CCACCGTCCTCAAACCCCATCCCTGATGTCCCCAACCCTCCATCTCACCCCAGGAGCCCCCCCTGGACCCTCTGACCAAAAACGACCCCCCCTCCCGCTCACAGAAAGGCCAAGGGCATCTGGGGACACACTGGGGACAGTTGGGGGGCTTTGGGGGGCACTGGGGGATTACTGGGGGATACTGGGACACACTGGGGGGAACCAGGGGGCACTGGGAGGGACTGGGAGGGGACTGTGGGTTGTGTCGGTTACTCCGATGAATGTCTCAGGGGCACATGGGCGGGCTCTGCGAGGTGAAAATGGGGCAAACGGGGAGGTATCTGGGACTACTGGGGGTTCACTTTGTGTCCATGGAGGATCCATGGGGGCCCCCCATAAACTTGAAAGCAGTGGGAGGTCACTGGGACACACTGGGTGGTCACTGGGGGGTTACTGGGCTGTACTGAGGGTCACTGGGAGGTCATTGGGATACACTGGGGGTACTGGGATCCCCTTACCCAGATGTGGTACATCTCCCTCCCCTGGATTTTGGGGGGCATCCCTAGGACCCCTGGGGACTGGTGGACCCCATGAACCCACTGCTGAGCTTTAGGGGACTCCACAAAATCCCCTCAAAACCCATGAAATGCCCCCCTCGACCCATCGAAACCTCCTCAAGGTCCCCTCAAATCCCCTCAGAGACCTCATCCCTCCCCAGCACCCCCTAAACCCTCCCAGTGACCCGCAAAACCCACCTGGGACGCCCCAAGCCCATTCAGGGACCCCCCAATCTCCCTCAAGGACCCTCAAAACCGTCTGGGACCCCTTAAACCCCCCAGAGACCCCAAAACTGCCTAAAAGGTCCCCGCAAAGCCCCTCAGGACCCTCAAACCTCCTCACAGACCCCAAAGCCCACCTGGGAAACCTGAAATCTCCTCAGAAACCAAAACCCCCTCAGAGACCCCCAAACCCCTTCAGGGACCTTCAATTTCCCCCCCCCGAGTCCCCTCAGGACACTGAATCCCCTCAGGGACCCCTAAAAACGTCTCCGGGAACCCCGAACTCCTCCGCTAAACCCTCCCGAGCCCTTCAACCCACAGCCGCGCTCCCCGTAGCCCCCGAGGGGATCCCCAGACCCCGCTCTCGCCGCCCCCCCCGCCAGACTCACAACGACAAACAGACCCCGCCGCAATCACGGAATCCCGGAAGCCAAAATGGCGCTGGCTCTGCGCGCGCACCGCCTGGACTGACCCGCGCCGCAGCCAATCAGCGCGCGGCCACGGCCCCTGCCCGCATTCCGCCACGCCTTCGCCGCGCGCGGTGCATTGTGGGAGTTGTAGTCCTTGCGGCAGGCGAGGATAGGACTTTTTTGTTTTTAGCTTTTCTGTCTTTATTTTCTCCTTTTTTTTTTCCTTTTCTTTCTATTTTCTTTCTTCTTTATTTATTCCTCGTCTTGTCTTTCGTCCGCTCACGTGCAAAGGGCCGCTATGATCGTCCGCAAGGACTACAACTCCCACAGCGCACCGCGCAAAGCGCAGGCGCGGCGGCGAACGTGCGGGCAGGGGCCGCGCGCTGATTGGCTGCGGTGGTGTTTTCTGAACGCGGTGCGCGCGCAGAGCGTCGCCTTGGCTTCCGGGAATCGGGGATGGCGCCGGGGCCTGTTTGTCGCTGTAAGATCTGGCGGGGACTGTGGCGAGAGCGGGGCTCTGGGGATCCCCTCGGGGGCTGCGGGGAGCGCGGGTGTGGGTGGAAAGGCTGGAGGGCTCGGAAGGGTTTAGCGCGTGGGTTCGGGGGTTCTCGGGGACGTTTTGAGAGGTCCCTGAGGGGGTTTGGTGTCTTGAGGGGACTCGGGGGGGAAATTGAAGGTCCCTGAGGGGGTTTGGGGGTCTCCGAGGGAGTTTTAGTTTCTGAGGAGATTTGGGGGATCCCAGGTGGGCTTTGGGGATCTCTGAAGAGGTTTGAGGGTCCTGGGGGGCTTTACGGGGACCTTTTAGGCAGTTTTGGGGTCTCTGGGGGGTTTAAGGGGTCCCAGATGGTTTTGAGGGTCCTTGAGGGAGATTGGGGAGTCCCTGAATGGGCTTGGGGGGTCCCAGGTGGGTTTTGCGGGTCACTGGGAGGGTTTAGGGGGTGCTGGGGAGGGATGAGGTCTCTGAGGGGATTTGAGGGGACCTTGAGGAGGTTTCGATGGGTCGAGGGGGGGATTTCAGGGGTTTTGAGGGGATTTTGTGGAGTCCCCTAAAGCTCAGCAGTGGGTTCATGGGGTCCCCCAGCCCTCAGGGGTCCTAGGGATGCTTCCCAAAATCCAGGGGAGGGAGATGTACCACATCTGGGTAAGGGGATCCCAGTGCCCCCAGTGTATCCCAATGACCTCCCAGTGACCCTCAGTACAGCCCAGTAACCCCCTCAGTGACCATCCAGTGTGTCCCAGTGACCTCCCACTGCTTTCAAGTATGGGCCAGTGATCCTCCAGTGAGCACCCAGTAACCTCCCAGTGTGCCCCCGTGTGTCTGGTTAATCCCCCATGTTACACTCCCCAAGAACCTTCTCCACCGTGACCCCAGTGTGCCCCAGTTCACCTCTACTTCCTGGCCCGTGCCCTCCCAGTGTCCCTCAGTAACCCCCAGTCCCTCTCAGTGCCCCCTGGTTCCTCCCAGTGTGTCCCAGTATCCTCCAGTAATCACCCAGTGCTCCCCAAAGCCCCCCAACTGTCCCCAGTGTGTCCCCAGATGCCCTTGGCCTTTCTGTGAGCGTGGGGGGAAGGAGGGGTGTTTTTGTGGTCAGAGGGTCCGGGGACCTCCTGGGGTGAGATGGAGGGTTGGGGGCATCAGGGATGGGGTTTGGGGACAGTGGGGACAGTGGGGAGGGATTTGGGGACAGTGGAATTGGGGGTTCCAGGGGGAGAAATGGGGCTGTGGGAAGTCCCTGGGAACATTGGAGACACCAGCGGGGTCTCAGGGTGTCAAGGGGGGAACTGGGGACACCAAGAAAGTCTTGGGCACACCGGGGGGTCTCAGGACTCACCTGCTCGTGGTGCAGCTCCTTCTCCCCCCCAAGCCCTTTTAACCCCCCCAAATGTCCCCTCACCCCCCTTTTCCCTTTAATCCCCTCCCCCCACAGATCCCTTTGATGCCCCAATGCCCCTAAAACCTGTTTTAACTCCCCCAAATACACCCAAAACCCCCCAAATCACCTTCCAACCCCTCCCAGATCCCCCCAAATCTCCCCCAGCCCCCCCTCAAATCCCTTCCAACCCCCCCCAAAGAGGGATCACCCGACACCCTGGGACAGGAACACAGTGGGCTGTACTGGGGGCACTGGGCTGTACTGGGAGGGCACTGGGGGGGCTCAGGTGTCCCACAACAACGTGGCCCAGCTCCAGGAGAGATCCGGGGAGCAATGAGGAGGTACTGGTCTGTCCTGGACTGTCCTGGTCTGTCCTGGTCTGTACCCCCAATCCCCAAAGCCCCTCCCCAGCTCCCCCAGGACCCTCCCGCACCCCAAAGCCTCCCAGGCCCCCCCAGGCCCCTGACTTGGTCCTGCTGCCCCTTGAGCATCTGCAGCTCCTGCACAACCAGGCATTTCTTTGCTCCCCAGGGTCGTTCCCACACCCAGAATGGAATCTGGAGGCAGCAGGATGTGCACAGGGCTCCCATTTCCTGCAGTGCAAAGGGGCTGCAGGGAATGATTCCCCTGCTCTTGCAAATCTGCCAAAAGCTGCAGGGCACAGGAGGGGGAACTTCAGGAATTTGCTGGCATTGGGAGTGGAGCTCACAGGGTATTGAGAGGAGCATATCCCTCAAATACAGTCTCTGTGCATACACAAGATCTGTCTGGACAGGCAGGTAAAGCAATAATCAGATATATTCTGTATCATATATCTGGCACATATTCTATAGAATCCATCCTTAGCTATTGTATGATATATAGAATCATAGAATCATAGAATTGGGTTGGAAAAGACCTCCAAGATCATCAAGTCCAACCCCTGATCCAACTCCAGTTACTATATCATGGCACTAAGGGCCACGTCCAATCTCTTTTTAAAAACCTCCAGGGATGGTGAATCCACCACCTCTCTGGGTAGGCCGTTCCAATGCCTGATAACCCTCTCTGTAAAGAATTTCTTCCTAACATCTAACCTAAACCTCCCCTGGCAGAGCTTGAGCCCATGTCCCCTTGTCCTATTGTTGGTTGCCCGGGAGAAGAGACCAACCCCCGCCTGGCTATAACCTCCCTTCAGGTAGTTGAAGAGAGTGATGAGGTCACCTCTAAGCCTTCTCTTCTCCAGACTAAACAACCCCAGCTCCCTCAGCCTCTCCTCATAGGACTTGTGCTCCAGTCCCTTCACCAGCCTTGTTGCTCTTCTCTGGACCCGCTCCAGCACCTCAATATCCTTCCTGAACTGAGGGGCCCAGAACTGAACACAATACTCAAGGTGTGGCCTCACCAACGCAGAGTACAGGGGAAGGATCACTTCCCTGCTCCTGCTGGCCCCGCTATTTTTGATACAGGACAAGATCCCATTGGCCTTCTTGGCCACCTGGGCACACTGTTGGCTCATGTTGAGCTTCCTGTCAATTAGTACCCCCAGGTCCCTTTCTGCCTGGCTGCTCTCCAGCCACTCTGTCCCAGCCTGTAGCGCTGCAGGGGGTTGTTGTGGCCAAAGTGCAGGACCCGGCACTTGGCTTTATTGAACTTCATCCCATTGGAATCAGCCCATCTCTCCAGTCTATCCAGATCCCTCTGCAGAGCCCTCCTGCCTTCTAGCAGGTCAACGCTCCCTCCCAGTTTGGTGTCATCAGCAGTTTTGCTGATGATGGACTCAATCCCCTCATCTAAATCATCAATAAAGATGTTAAACAGGACTGGACCCAACACAGACCCCTGGGGAACACCACTGGTGACCGGCCGCCAGCTGGATGCAGCTCCATTCACCAGCACTCTCTGGGCCCGACCCTCCAGCCAGCTCCTAATCCAGGAGAGGTTACACTTGTCCAAGCCATGGGCTACCAGCTTTTCCAGGAGTATATTATGGGAGACAGTGTCAAAGGCCTTGCTGAAGTCTAGATAGACCACATCCACAGCCTTCCCCTCATCCACCAGGTGGGTCACCTGACCGTAAAAAGAGATCAGGTTGGTCAGACAGGACCTGCCCCTCCTAAACCCGTGCTGGCTGGGTCTGATCCCTTGTCCATCCTGAAGGTGCTGTGTGATTGCACTCAGGATGATCTGCTCCATAACCCTGCCAGGCACCGAGGTCAGGCTGACAGGCCTGGAGTTGCCCGGGTCCTGCTTGCAGCCTTTTTTGTGGATTGGGGTGACATTCGCCAACCTCCAATCATCTGGGACCTTCCCAGAGAGCCAGGACTGCTGGAAGATGATGGAGAGTGGCTTGGCGAGCTCTTCTGCCAGCTCCTCATCACCCTTGGGTGGATCCCCTCTGGTCCCATAGACTTGTTAGGATCCAGCTGGCTCAGTAAGTCGCTAACTACATCCTCCTGGAATACAGGAGGGCTATTCAGCTCTCTGTCTCTGTCTATCTGCTCTAGAGGCCAGTTGTCCTGAGGGCCACCTGTCTTACTGCTAAAAACTGAGGCAAAGTAGGTGTTAAGTACCTCAGCCTTCTCCTCATCTTTGTTAACTGTATTTCCCTCCAAGTCCAACAGAGAATTGAGATTTTCCTTGCCCCTCCTTTTGCTATTAATGTATTTATAAAAGGACTTTTTGTTATCCCTAACTGAATTAGCCAAATTAACTTCAAATTCCACTTTTCTTTCCCTAATTTTTTTCCTGCATGACCTAGCTCTCTTCGTAAATTCTTCATAAGTAGCCAGCCCTTTTTTCCAAAGTCTGTAAACTTTCTTTTTATCCCTGATTTCTTTCAGAACCTCCCTATTTAACCAAGCCGGCCGTCTTCCCCTCCGGCTGGCCTTTTGGCTCACTGGTACAGCCTGTTCCTGTGCGCTCAGAATTGCCTGCTTGAAGCATGTCCATCCCTCCTGGACCCCCTTGCCTTTAAGGGTTGTTTCCCAGGGTATGCCCTGAATTAGTTTTTTGAATAGGCCAAAATCTGCCCTCTGGAAGTCCAGAGTAGAGGTTTTAATGATGGCTCTCCTTACCTCCCTGAGGATTGAAAATTCTATTATTTCGTGGTCACTATGCCCCAGGCGGCCTCCAACCACTACATCATCCACCAGCCCCTCTCTGTTTGTAAACAGTAGGTCTAGCGGGGCCTTACCCCTGGTAGGCTCATTTACCAGTTGATGAAGGAAATTATCCTCTATACACTCCAGGACCCTCCTTGACTGCCTCTTCTCTGCAGTATGAAGCTCCCAGCAGATATCCGGCAGGTTAAAGTCACCCATGAGCACAAGGGCTGGAGATTTTGAGACATCTGCCAGCTGCTTGTAGAATAATTCATCTCCTTCATCATCCTGGTTGGGCGGTCTGTAACAGACACCCACAAGGATGTCAGCCTTGTTGGCCTTCCCCCTGATTCTGGTCCACAGGCACTCAACCTTGTCACTGCTGACCTCAACTTCAACAGAGTCAAGAGACTCTCTAACATATAAAGCCACCCCTCCACCTCTCCTTCCCTGCCTGTCCTTTCTGAAGAGCTTGTGGCCCCCCATAGCAGCACTCCAGTCGTGGGAGTCATCCCACCACGTTT